GAGGGGGAGAGAGAGAGAGAGAGAGAGAGAGAGAGAGAGAGAGAGAGAGAGAGAAAGAGAGATCATATATTAAGGAGAGAAATACATACAGTCGTCAGTACAATAGCTAGATTCTTTTTTGTGTATGTAAATTTCTTGCAAAATAATGCCGATATTGTTTGCACGGATAGTTCAGTGCGCCTTTCCTTTCATTGCCTCTTGACAATGTAACTTCGATATATCCACATGACCTAAAACAAAAAAGTTAATTTACAAAACAATTACTTTAATTAAGGTAAACATGTACAAAAATATTAACAAAAAAGCTGCTCCGATGCTCTTGACATATGTTGTCAAGGTCATTCGAAACAAAATATAATTCCAAAATATGCAAAAATATTTTGGTTTTACTTATACACTTAAATTGATAAATATTGCCAAAATCTGTGCAATATTTATCAATTTAAATGTGTAAGTATAAATTCTTACTACAGCGATCGAGTTAATTTAAGGTTAGTTGTAAAGCTGCAGCAAACGGTATAATTTAAGATGTGTTGAATGCCAAAATAAGATATATATTATGTGATTACCTGTGATTATAATTTTAAAACGCGTTCTCGCTCTTCTCTTGTATGTCACGGGCAACAAGGGCAACACATGGGGCAACATGTTCGGGCAATAACGCGGACGCCTGCGTCTACGACGTCGTCACGCCGCAATAATGCGCGTCAGGACGAACGAACGACTAGAGCCAGTCCGAGAAACAGCATCCAGGAAAAGGAATGCACAGTCAAAGTCGGCAACACTTTCAAAAATATACAATAACAAGCACCCGATCCGAAACGCGTCCGTAACAGTCGAGCGGTTCTTTGGAACTCGTCCGCCTCGATCGAATGGTTCTGTTCGGAACTCCGGAACGCACAAATGCGAAGCGCGCGTAATTCGAATAAACGTTTATAATATATAATTTTTAGTATGTCGCGGTATACGCGTCTGTCGCAAAACTGAAAATGTCAAACTGTCATATCACATATATAAGATGTCTTTTAAATCATTTCTAAAAGATATCTACTAGACACATATCTAATAGATATCTTTCAAGAGAGATCATTTAGATATCTTTAATATATCTATTATAAATATTTTAAAGACATCTTTTAAGAAATCTTTAAGACGTCTATAAATATCTTTTAGAAGTTATAAAATGATATCTTTAATAAAATCTTTTTAGACATCTTTTATATATCTTCTAGAAATGTCTTGAAGTACAATACGGAAACAGAATATAGGACGAAATATAATAACGAAAATAATAATAGATTAAATATACACTTGGGAAATTTATATTTAATATAAATTTATTAACTAATTAATTTTATTAACAATTTTTTGTTAAACAATATAAACTTTTATAATACAAAAACTTTTGCAAGACAAACTACATTTTGAAGTATATTTGGTAGACGACGACATCTTGCATTCTGTACTGCTATGTTGAAAAAAGATAGTTGACCATGGAACAAACTTATATAAGGAATCAGACGGAAGGAAAATGAAAACAAATCCAGTTTAAATAAATTTAATTTAAAAAATTAAAAAATATATAATTAACAAAAATAAATTGTACTTATCCGTATGAAACTGTAAAATATTTTCTATAAAAATTTGCTCATTAAAATATAAAATTAGAAACACTAATTAGAAAAGAATTTCCCGTAATGTCAAACTAAAGGACAGTAAAGGATAATATTTAAAAATAATGGACGAAATTGAGTTTTAAAAAAACAAATAAATATAAAGGATAATTATCTAAAATAAAGAACTATCCAAGGGTATCGAGCTAATGCCAAGGGCATCTGGCCAACTAGAATCCACAGGATTGAAAGGTAAGATTATTTTCTTAATTACACGTCAAAATTTTTTTAAACTTGACTTTTAGAATTTAATTCGTGATATTACTGCAATATTTTAGTAGAGTTGCGTTTCAAATCTGAAAAAATTTCGGCGCGCAATCATAGATTTACATATGTAGTATATATATGAATTCACACGCAATTATATATAGAAGCATCCGTAATCCAACTTAGACTGCTACTGCTTCTCCTTATTGGTTTAAATTGAAAAAAATTTTAATCTTTTCTTAAACTATTTCCTTCTTATTCTAGTGGTTCTAATAAATGTTTTTTATTTTAATATGGTTCAATAATTGATGCTGTCTGAAGGGGTTAATAATCTTTTTTATTAATAAATTAAGAAACAAAAGAATGTAAAGTAATTCCAGGGAATGTTACATTTAAGTATTTATTTATAAACATTAAGGGATTGCACTGTATTCTTATATACATAACGGCAATCTTGAAAAAGTTTATTTCATAAAATTAGGATTAATTTATTTATTCCGACTAAACTGACTCTGTTAACTGTAACAAGGTTATACCCTGAAGCGGAATCAATCACTTTTTCCTTCTTCCTTACACATATATGTATATTTATCCTTCTATTTATTATTGATGGAGGGGATGATCCGACGCATGCGCACAACGTTCAAAGTACGCTGAGAAAGAGAGAGAAGTATATTCCCGCACCGTGGTTCTGGGACATGGACTTCTCTCTCATCTAGCCATATAGTAGTATTACATATATGGAGACATCTCGTTTTCTGTCTCTTTCTATGCGCTCACGCAGTCTTAGCTGAATATTCTCCTCTAGTTATATAACCTCTTTGCTCTAATGCAAACTACATGCCTGTGGACTACTATTTCTTAAGTACAGATTGCACAGCTTTTACATAAGACAAATGTTGTTACGACGTGCAACGATGT